CATGACGTCGTGTGTAGACCTGGCGGTTTGCACCCTTCATAATATATATCATATATTATACAGTGTTGAAAACATGTCAGTTAATAATATTCTAATGCTAAACAATTGTAATAATTATTGAATAGTGAACAAAAGTAAGAAAAAACATTGTCTGTGGGTTTGCGTCCCCGGCCAGAAGCTAATGCTGTTTGCGGGGCCATGGCGTGGAAAAGCTTGGGAACCCGTTTGAGAAAACAGGACATGTCAAACCCCTGATTTAAAAAAAAACACCTGCATCAAACAGAAGAGACAAACCAAAATAAAGGAAATTATAAAATGAAAAACTATGATACTCATTTACTTGATTTTATTCTCTTTCTCCAGATATAATTGACATGGCTTCATTAGGAAGAGTGACACAATAAATACAATAATCATAATAGCAACTTTTACTCATGTGGAAAAAACTCACTTTAATGTTTGAATTTAAATTTGAATGTTCATTTGAATACACATTATTGACTTTATTCAAATATGCTTATCCATCTATTTGTTTCTTCATGTTTTCTTCTTACATCGACTGTGTATGGATTTATTCTGTAAAGCACTTTGTAACTGTGCAAATACAGTTATTATACGTCCAGTTATTTAACGCAAGAGACGTATCCTGCGTCCGTTTGGTGCGTAGATCGAGCAGCGTCCTCAGAAATGAACGTGTAAGCAAGATGCTCAACCCACATAAGGGTGGGGGCAAAACCACAGACACTGGTTTTATATGAATTCAGGACCAAAACCCTTGTGAAGGCACTTTTTTAAAATGGGATCCTCACAGAATTCAACGCTCACTGAAGGTTTTCACAGGCAATCCAGCTCAGGACGGACAATCCCTGACCAGATCTTCAACAGCTCCTGTGGCGTCCGGCTGTGAACCAGCATCAGGCGCCTGTAGACGCAGGTGTTGTACTTGTACCTCTCCTCGATGTCAAAAGTCTTGAAGCCAGAGTGTTTCTCAGGAACCAGACCCAGTTTCTTCAGACACATCCCAGTGTAGACATCATCGATGGGATACAAGACGACCTGTGGGGATACGCTGTGAAGGCGCAGCGCTAAATCCCCAGAGTACAGATAACCTCCACCCCCAGCGTAAGGCGGGTACTGTCCCACAAACACACTCTCAGGGATGAAGTACTTCAGTTTCCGGTTTCTGTGTGGGCCGGCGTTACTGATGACATCCCCTATGAACAAATCCCTCGACTGGTTCTCCGACAGGCCTTCCAGGAAGTCAATGATTCGCAGGGTGTTGACCAAGACGTCATCGTCCCCCTTGAGGATGTACTGTGCGTGAGGACAGTTTTGGCTGAACCACTCCAGGAAGAGGATCTCCTTCAGGGTGAGGTTGAAGAAGGTGTCTCTGTAGTCCCACTGGAGGAGGTCGTTGTGAAGCTCCGCCTCGTGGCCCAGCATCGGCAGCAGGTCTGGAAAGTGATCTATTGACATGGTGTTGCCAAGCAGAAACACCGTCGCCACTGTACGATTTGCTAAAACGCCCGCTCGTCCCCATGTTTCACGAATAGCCTGCCGGCGGTCGAAATGTGGCGTGAGTGACTTGACCACCAGCAGCAGGAAGGGTGTGTCCTCACAGACGTGGGGCTGGTTTATCAGCATGGGGTACGTCCTGCAGTGCATGTGCAGAAGGAAATCCTGGAATCGCTGCGGCAGGGAGTTGTAGTCTGAGATTTGAGTGTGGACTCTGTAGTCCGGGTCACAGGGGTTGAGCGGCCCGGTGTCATTCGACCAATCCGGCAGCTCGGTGAGGTTGTAGATGAAGTCCAGGCGCCGCTGCTCCCTGTTCCAGAATGATCCTCTCTCAGCCTCGGTCGGGGCTTGAACCGCTCGGCGGCCACTCTTGTCGTGCCCCAGGTTCCACAACACGCTCATTAGGACGCAGACAAAGACATTGAGCATCATCATCACGTAGAGAACCTGCGCTTTCCTGAAGGCCACAGGCATGTTGCCACCCCCCCCCCCCCCCCCTCCCCCACTGCACCTAGAGACAGAACAGAGATTCAGACGATCAACAACAAACAGATGAGAACGTGCAGCCTCAGACTTACAGCGAAGTGAGGACACAAAGGAACATTTGGAAACATGGACGCAGAGTCCGCGTGGAGAGTTTGACCTCAGCAGGAGATAGACTGGAAGAATCCCCCCCCTGACCTTGATGGTCAAAGGTTGAAGGTCACCGTGAGCTTACAAACTAATTCTGTTTGTGTTGCCTTTTGTTGTTTTCACGTCCTGATGCCTGTTGTATCTTTAAATCGTTCGTTTGCTCCGAGGCTTCAGTGCTCCGAGTTCAATTGTCGTATGATCATGAAGTTCTTACAGGTTGAAACTGTGTTTGGTCTCCAGGAAGTCGTGTCTGTGGACTGAGCTGTAAACCTGCACACTAACGTGGACTTTACACACAGAAGCAACATCTCAGGGCGAACCTGATTTATTGCCTCTCAGTGACCAACCACCGAGCTCAGAGGTGCGTCCACGTCTTCACCTGCAGAACTGATCAGCTCCGTGAGTGATTTCAAGGAAAATAATCTGAAGATGACACACGTGATGTGAATTAAAAGGATTTACTCAATAATAAAAGAGGTTAAAAATAAATACCAAGACGAATAAAGAAATGAACCTGCCCTCAGGTTTTCAGGAAGGTTGTTCCAGAGGAATCTTTGTTCTCTGGACATTTTGCAAATTGTTGATAACTTTTAGGGTTTCAGCTCCAGATGCAGAAAATAAATTAAAGCCTGATTTTAGTTTTAAAACCTGGGAACAAGTTTAAAGCTCGTTTGTGTGCAAGTGATTTATTTGATGAAAGAAAGGCTTCTGTGTTGGCTGCTGGTAAATGTTATTCTTTGTTTCATCCCTGTGATACATTAAGCTCACTGACACTTTCCAACGGTGTGATGAATCCATTCAAGCTGCTGTTGTGGAGATTTGTGTGTGTTTTCTATACATTAACGGAGATAAGTTCAGTTATCACTTTGTTCTCAGACACACAAACCCGTCAGACGAGTCCAGGTGATGAAGCTAAGGGCGGATCAACAGGCTGCTGTGCCTCCCTCATCCTTCAGGAGGCGGCGCGTTCTGGTACCTGGATGTTTGTGGCAGCGGCCCGGACGCCCGTTAATCCTCATTAAAATCTGTCGTTAAAGAAAAACGAACCCTGAACCCAGTGAAACCTGAGTGTGACTCCTCCTCCCTGAAGTCAGTTTTGTGTTGGATTCACTCACCATCAATAAAAGTTAATGTTGACTTCAAACCCTGGTTCACCTGGAAACACACAACATGAAAGATTACACATCGATTGATATACAGTTGTAAATTTAGGTTCACATTCAGCTTCATTCACATATAAGGTTATTTACAGATTTATATAGTTTACATAGTTTTGAATAATGGTTTATAAACAGTTCTATATACAGGTCTATACTGTATATATGTTTATGTACAGTTTTATAACTTATAGAAACGTTTATTTCCAGCAGTGTTCAAACCCGCACAGAAGAAAACAAGAGGTCAGAACAGAGATAATGATCATAACTTCACACGTGGATGTGATTTCATGTGACGGGAACACGGTCGTCTCCAGTTGATTCTGACTTGAAGGAACAAACATGGAATCATGGAGTGAGTCAGTAAAACCAGACTCAGACTGATGGAACTGATGGATGTTTGACCTCTGACCCCTCAGGCTTAACCCTCGTCCCAGAGACGCTGGATTATTGCTGCTGTTTCCCTCTGGCTGAATATTTAAGTATTTCTCGATGATGAGACCAGACAAGATGCATCACAAACGATTCATCTGTGAATTCAATCTTGTTGTATTTATATTTATCTTTTCATCCCTGTCCATTGGTTGGTTTTTCTTATTTT